CCTGTCTTTTATATATATATATATATATATATATGTCTAGGCCGACCAACACAGTGTCAGTATCGGCAGTCAATAAGTTAAGCTTTGCGTATGTCTCCAGGAATATGAGTTGCCAGACAAATAAAAAAAACAACAAAACCCCAAAACACCCGGACTCCTTCACGCTGTTAGTCTATCACATACATGTCTCATATCATGCTGCCTTATGCTAGAACAATCAATCTGACCCATGTCAATAAGTACAATGTATTCCAATGAGTATGACAAGAATCTCGGCCCAGTGCGTTAGTCTTAAGAAAGATAAACCCAACTCCAAATTTTAGTGAATTATTTTACACAACCTGATTTCATTCTTTAAGAAGCCCATGAATTGACAATTGACTATGAAAAACTTGGCATTGGAAATGAGTCACTCTGTATGTTGTACCATTGCCCTGATATGACGGTAAGCATGTGTACATTTCAAGAAAAAGGAGGTGAATACAATTTAAATTTCTTCTTCAGGAGGCTCAATAAAATACACCTGATCCTATTTTAACCTTCACATAAACTATTCTAGGTAAAAATTTCCAGTTGACTAAGAAAACTTACTACAGAAGGAGCACCAGTAGACTCTATATACACGCTCTTCAGTTTCTCATGTAAACTTTCATCCTTTGTTGTAACAGCTTCCATATATTCTGGGTGCTCTGAAATACAATGAAACAAAGTAAAATAGATAATTTTAATAGAAAACTGAGTTGAGTCTACGTTCTCGAAGTGATCTTGTATCAAGCTGAAACCTGTTGAAATTATCAATCATCAAATGAAATAAACATTTGCTTCATCTTAACACTTTGACAAAAGTAGAGGAAATTTTATTTCTAATGGCTTCTGAGGAACCAAAGTAGCCCAGTCTAGCACATTGAGCTGCCAACCCCACTGGCCACAAAAGTGTAAGATTTTAGCTAAAAAAGTGTACAATATAACAATCACTATTTTGACATACACACAATTAAAACTCTCACAAAAGTTAAAAGAACTGACCATCCAAAATTTACAGCTGTGTTTTCTTAGAGAGGGATGCGGCAGTTGCTGACTTTGCTGACTTAAGTAAGTCATCTGTCAGGGGTCCTTTGAAAGATTTTGGGCCACTCTTTATTTTGCAAATGCTGATCGATTCAACAAGTTTAATGGAAAGGGAAGATCTAAAGTATTTCTCCTGATAAGACAAAAGAAAACTCCTTGAATTTGCATTCAAGGAAAAATCTCCTTGAAAACTCCTTGAATTTTGCCAGATCGGACAGGAAAATGCGTACAGGGTGACTGCCAGGCCCCGGGAATCCCGGGAGCCCCTGGAATTACCCGGTCGCGATTGTGATATATATATAATATTATTATAATATTCGTTAGGCTTTTCCCGGCCTGAGAGTACGTTACATGCGCACAGGTGGTTATGGCGGCAACAAGTGGAAGTGTGTGCGATACTGAAGCTCGATCGGGAAAATCAGGATATACTTTCGCTTTCGTTACCACACAGAAATTTGCTGGTAGGGCCTATAGTAGTCGGATAACGCCACATTTGTAACATGCAGGTTCTGCATTACAAACGCTGTGTCGCCATGAAAATAAATCTTTTGTCCTGTGCTGTCACTTGTGAAAAAAAAGAAAGTTATACAACCTTCTTGTTGGGCTCGCCATCGTGACCAGTCACTGAACCTGTGCGTTTTCGTCACATCGTGAGTATCGGCGTGAGGTCACTTAAGTTCAAAGTCTGAGCGCTGCGAAGTATAGAGGACTCAGGAATGGGGGGATTACTGATTTTTTTGCGTTCGCCTCCCTGTCCCTCTCTGGGTGTGTGTGTGTGTGTCTTTTCCTGACCCCCGTCCCCTGGATTTATGTTCCCCGATAGAAAGTGAATTTCTGCTTGAGTTCGTGTGCGTTTGTGACCTACTTCTAAAATTGCCTGCGTTGGTTCTACACCAAAGTGTAGGCTAAGGCTAGCCTAGATCTAGGCCTACGTCTCATTGAAAACACGCCAAGTTGGTACCGTAGCTCTAGACTAGATGCTCGTCCAATGAAATTAGCCCTTAAGATTCTGGTCCCTGATAAATGTTTGCCCAATAAGCGCAATCCCGCGCGGCGCTCCACAGCTGGTCCCTGATCAGTTGTCGTCCGGCGCGGGCAACGCATTTCGTTTAGGGCGGGGTCTGCATCTGTGTGCTAAAATGTGTGTGGGTCAGTCTGCTTGTGCCTGTGTGTCCATCTGGAACTTACTGCATTGTTTTGCAACGCGAGGCGTTGGTAGAGATAACAGAGCGTTGGTTGAGACGTTCATCCAATGAAATATGAGCATTTTGACCCAGTTAGACACTTGAGGGACTCGAAAGGATATTCAGGAAATAGGACTTTCATCTTTCAATGCAAACACCTTTCCTCACTTTTCAAACGATCTAATTCTTACACCAAATGTTGTTTCCTGATGTAAATAATCATATTTGGTGGTTTTTGAACCATTGTCCTACCAAAGGGAGAAAGTTGAGAGCAACTGAATAAAAAAAAATATTAGGAAATTATCCCATTTTTTCCCTCTTTCGAACGATAGCTGATAAGCAGCTGTTCGCAAGTTCATTCATAATAGGTGTGAAATCTGGAAAACTCATTCGATTTGGTGTAACTTCCAATCTCAGTGTCTCTGATCAACCGACGAGGAGATAATGGGATTATTCGTGTGATCGTAACACTTATTCATTGATCGTATCAGTTTGCTGTAAAAGATGAGGTGTTCCCTGACCTGCCGCGGCACGCTCGCATGACCGGTGTCTGACCCCGGCGCCCCGCGGCACAAGCTCGTGGGCGACGTACGTGGGTCATCGATCGATAAGAGCCCTCTTCCGGTTAACCCCGCAGGACTAGAGTTAGTTGAGAACAAATCGACCCATTCTAGACACACATTAGATCTAGATCTAGATCTTATATCATATGAATATAAAGCCAAAGATAGTGTTGTTTTCAGACTTGACACCGCTTCACTCGGTGGCAATTGACACCACCGCCAATTTTTGTCAATTGCCACCGCGTCACTCGGTGGTAATTGATGCTACCTGAAAAAATCATGAAGATCGACACGCAACTTCCAGAGATATCCACAAAAAGATCGCTTACGGTATTTATCGCACTGTAGACTAGACTGTAGACTACAGGATTAACTCTAAGTCTATTAGAAAAGTAGTAAAGACACATAAGTCAGAAGACATAGAACCGTGTTATACAACTAGATATACCTTCCATCTCTGGTGTAGCTTCAAACTCAGCAACTCACCTGCACGAAACTGTGATATCTTGTTAGCAGTTGTCTCATGTTTTGGGGCCGGCTCTGCGACCTTCTCTCTTCTTTCTAAGACCTTTGCAGCTCGGTTGTCAATGTTGAAGTTTCTCAACGGCTTAGACAGTCTGGAGGCAATCTGACCCATTTTGAAGTCTTACTGAGTTTGAATCGTAACTTTGAATTAGATTCTAGATCTAGGGCCTAATCTTTAACATTGAAACATGCTGCTCTGTTACGTGAACGAAAGAAAGGCACCTCCACCGTGTTCAGCCGAGCTCCACTTGTGTCATTGACAAACATTATATAAAGTATTTAGAGTGCTTTCCCTTTGAAATGTCATGCCCTTTATACTTCGTAGCAATCACATTTTCCATTTTTCTTTAATTACCCCACAGAAAACAACAAAAAACAACAACAAAAAAAATTCTTAAAAAAAAAACGACCAAAAAAAAACAAAAAAACATTTCAAAAGAAATAATAATGATTAAAAAAATGTATAAGCCCTAGGCATAGACAAAATAGAAAATGAACAAAATAGAAAAGAACAAAAACGAAATAAAATAAGAATCTATACATGAAGGAGTAAAATAAAAGTAGCCTACATTAAGCTATTTCAAATTGTATTCTGAGTTACAAAAAAACCCCCAAAAACAATCTAATGAAGCAATATCCTATGTTTATAAAAATTATAGATCTATGTTCCATGAACAAAAAGCTTCGTACAACGTTCAATTTTACAGACCATCGTTAATCTAATAGCAGCTGTGCTTTAGCTTATAATGGGTGGG